GGGCCTCAACATTAGCCTTTCAGCAAACAGCAGGTGCAAGCCAAGCGATCCCGGCTCTGCTAACAGTAATCCCTGCTCTCCTTTCCGTCACCACAATATTGTCTGCTGTGCTGAAGGATGTTTTTGTTTTCTCTTCACAGTTGTTAATTCCTTTATACTGAATTGAAACCTCTTCCTAATCTTCCTGTGCAGCAATTCTTTGGAAAGGGCAGCCATTGTCAGGAAGCCACAGGGCACTGCAGGCAGGCACGCTGCAGTACCCGAGAACATGCCTGCTCCTGCCCCAGAGAGGGGGGTAGGGGGACCTGCTACCTGCACAGCAGCCGCCTGGCCAGACAGCTGTCCAAATGAACATCACCAGTTGCTTTCACAAGCTTAATGAAGGGAAGCACAACCCTGGAAAATGCGTAGCGGCAGCTTGCTACTATAGGAACAGCATTATATACTTCAGAAAAGACTACTGGATGCTCCTGTGAGGCAGGCAGTTGGACTTTATGGCATTCAACAGAAACATGCTAAGCGTTTTTATTTATTAAGCCCTAAAAGTTAAGTGAAATACAAATTCCCTATCACAAAATGTTCTGTATTTATTCCAGTAAAAACACTTGACAATAGAGCTAAAGAGCTCCATCTTTGCATGGTTTCTAGCCTGTAGACAGTGGCAAAGAAAAGAAACAGTGGAAAAGAAACAGCGTAAGTTCAGCGATACCAATATGGACTGCCTCTTTCACAGCTCCCTGTCTTCACCTAGGACTCTAGTTTTGTCCTTGATAATTAGCAAACTTGCTGCCACTTACACAATTCAACTGTAGACTTAATACTCATTTGGTGAATACAGTTCTCAAGGAGCTTGAGCTCTAAAGCTTACATTCTTCTACTCTGAATTTAAAATTGCAGGTTTAATTTTTTGTTACGTGCTGTTATCTGCAACTTATGAATGAGTGACCTCCAAAATGTCCTGTCCTTGACAGCCCTGCTCAGCTCCTGTGGCTTTCTTTCTGGAATTGATTCAACTCAAAGTTGCTCTTCCTCTTCTTTTCCAGAATACAGCTTGAGCATCAGGCATCTCTTGCTCCATATAGTGTAAAATCATTTAACATTAATATCTACCAAATTAACAAGATAAAACTTTTGGAAAGTTCTTTTTAAAAATCTGAGGGTTTTGAAATACGATCGTTCAGTTCAAGTTTCTGCAGTACCTGGTTTCTCCTGATCTCTAGTTTACAATTAGTAAGCAAGCCCTGTCCATTCAGTCTTAGCCAACCAGCACAAATAATGCACAAAGAGCCAAGGAAAAACAAATTATGTAAGAGGGCAGGTGATAAAAGAGAGGTCCTTTAGAGGCAATGATGCTAAATAAGAAGGGAGAGTGTTTAAAGCAGTAATACCTTATGTGCCCAGTTTAATATAAGCTCCTGTTTCATGGAATGAGCCTGTGGAATAACAAGAGACTAATAACAGTTTGAAGTATTATCAGCTGATGGGGACTCATTGCCAATGGCCTTGTTGTCTAGGAATGATGCGGTTTGTAGTCTGGCAGGTTGGGGGAGGACTGATCTAATGCAAGATAATAAGCAAAAAACATTTATGTGATATGCCATTCATATTCCCTTTTCAATATGGGGAAACTTTGCTAGAAAGCTACCATCTTGTGCCAGGAAATGCATCAGAAACCAGGCCAAAAAACCTGCTGTAGGATCTTGCATCAAACCAGCCATAAATTTAAAATCATTAAGTAAAATGGACAATATCTTGTCTACTCCCTATTTTCCTCTCCTCTTGAACATAGTAATTATAAAGGAACATCATGTGAAACATGCTACAACCACTGGTTATTTCTAAGAGTTATTTGTCCCCCTGTACCTAATGGTTCTCAGGAAGACATATAAAAATACAAATGAAGTCCAAAATATGTATAAATTGAGAAGTGTGGGTTCTAGTTCCCATTCAGGCCATGAAGTTCACTGGGCAACTTTGGGCCAGTCTCTCCAACCAACCAACCTCACAGGGGTGTTGTGATAGATGAAAAGGAAGGTAGGAGAAACATGTAAGCCAACTGCAGTTTCTTGCAAGAGAAAAAAAAAAAAGCAAGAATGTTAGTAGCTGTAACAGTATAATTGGCAAAATGTTGCATTATTTTACAGGGACAAATTGACAATATAAATGCTAGGCTGTACATAAGAAATGTCTCCAGATCCACCTTCAATTCCTGGCATTCCTTACCATTGGCTATGCTAGCAGGGGCTACTACGGGACATAGTCCAAAACATCTGGAAAGCTACCTTCTGCCCATCCTTGTATTACAGCACACTAGTCTTACATAATTTCTGCTGTCAGTTCTGAACAAAGGTTGAAAAATTTGCTCCAGGTATCATGTACTTTTAAGACAGACAAGACTAGAAGAAGGACTATTGTTCCTCAAGAGGCAACCCCCTTAATACAACCCATATTTTCATCCATGCAGGATGTGATAGGAAGAATTCTGTATAAAGTTGATGGGGGGAAATCTGCCTAAAAAGTTGCTACCTGCCTCCTGCTGGACAAAACCAGGCATGTTAGCAGCTGGTACATAAGTAGGAAACAGGTATTTTTAGCTGTACTACCATTATTTTAATCAACACTCATATACACAAAAAACAACCAGTTCACCAGTAACTTTCTCATATTTTGCCAAAACAAAAGCCCCTTACAAGACTAAAAGGAACTCTTTGAATATATCACTCAATATATTTATGACAGCAATTTATGGAAATATTCAGAGTTTGATTAACTTTTTGAAAGGCCAGATGACAAGCTTTGGAGCCAGAGCATACTAGCTCCACTTTGACTTGATTAATAATTCCTTAAATGATCACCTTTACATTTGTTTCACTGGAGCTTGGAACAAAGATGGGTGACAAAGATGGGTAACTGACATCACAACTCATGAACTTTTGAGGATATAATTCATTCAGTTAGCTTGTACTACAGCTTAAAATAAGTTGGACCAGCACCACCAGTACAATTTTTGCTTTATTACATGTATATCTCACCTTTTTTCCTTCCAAGGAGCTCAAAGTAGCTTACATAATTCTCTTCCTTCTATCCTTCTTATCCTCACCACAACAGCGCTGTGAATTAGGTTGGGCTGCAAGTCTGTGAGTGGCCAAAAGTCCCCCAGTGAGTTCCATGGCTCAGTGGGGGCGAGAATACAGATTGTCTGAGTCCCATTCCAAGTTTTGTTAAGAAGGCAGCTGGATAGCTGTAGTTAAAACATTTTATGTAGATAAAACATTTTATGTGAATCCAATGTTGTTGGTGAAGGCTAAAGATGGACCCTGAATCAGAAAAAAATGCAGAATGTAGGTCTGCTAGCTAAATTAAGAATCTAAGATTTTCCCCAAGTGTTAGAGTGGGTGGTGGCGGGACAACTCTAAGCACTCTTGGATGAGACTGATTATCTGGACCCATTTCAGTCTGGCTTCAGACCCGGGTATGGTACTGAATCTGCCTTGGTCGCCCTGTATGATGACCTGTGCAGGGAGAGAGACGGGGAGTGCGTCCCTGTTGGTTCTCCTGGACCTCTCAGTGGCTTTCAATACCATCAACCATGGTATCCTGGATAGGCTAGCGGGATTGGGAGTTGGAGGCACTGCTTGGCAGTGGTTCCGCTCCTATCTCAATGGCTGATTCCAGAAGGTGGTGCTGGGGGACTATGACTCTGCGCCATGGCAGTTATGCCATGGAGTTCCACAGGGGTCCATTTTGTCCCCTTAGCTATTCAACATCTACATGAAACCGCTGGGAGAGGTCATTAGGAGGTGTGGGCTGCGGAATACCTGATACCCAGCTCTACCTCTCATTTTCAACCAATCCAGGTGAGGCAGTGGCTATACTGAACCAGTGCCTGGCCAAGGTAATGGGTTGGATGAGGGCCAATAAACTGAAGCTCAATCCAGACAAGACGGAGGTCCTGTTGGTAGGTGGTTCGGGCTTCGGGGTGGGGGACTTGGGCCTTGTCCTGAATGGGGTTGCACTCCCTCTTAGGGACAAAGTTTGCAGCTTGGGAGTGCTCCTCGACCCAGAGCTGTCATTAGAAGCTCAGGTGACGGTGGTGGTGAGGAGCCGTTTCCATCAGCTTCAGCTGATCCATCAGCTGCGTCCGTACCTGGAGAACGACTGCCTGGCGACAGTGACACATGCATTGGTAACTTCCGGATTAGACTTCTGTAACGCACTCTACATGGGGCTGCCCTTGAAGACAGTCTGGATACTTCAATTGGTGCAAAACAGAGCTGCCAGGTTGCTGACGGGAACTGGGCATTGTTCTCATATAACCCCAGTCCTCCATCAGCTTCACTGGCTTCCCATTTAAGTCCGGGCCCAATTCAAGGTGTTGGTTATCACCTATAAAGCCCTTAACGGCTTGTCACCTGGTTATCTAAAGGAGCGCTTGCGCCTATATATGCCCTCCCGCCCCTTGAGATCGGTGGCAGAGGCCCTTCTCAGGGAACCCTCTGTGAATGATATTAGGAGGGTGAGTACCCGGAGGAGGGCCTTCTCTGTGGTGGCGCCCCACCTATGGAATGCTCTCCCCAGAGAGGTCCCCCTGTGCCGTCATTATTGTCGCTATTTGTTTTTCAGCGCCAGGCCAAGACCTTTTTATTTAAAAGTTATTTTAATTGTTAATTATTGATTGTATTTATTGGGTTTTTATGCTTGTGCCGAGATGTTTCCGGATTTTTAATGGTTGTGTATTTATTTTGTAAGCTGCCCCGAGGCTTTTTGCGAATGGGGCAGCATAGAAATGGTCTAAATAAATAAATAAATTCAATCACTGCTTCCATATTGAATTTGCAGCTTTTGGTCCACAGTCACCTTTGGTATGGCATAAAATGCCTGATCCCGTTGCCTGCTTGTGACACATTTGGACCTGGGTAACTCCCTTCAAAGTCATTTAGGGACTTCAAAGTTATTTAGTGGAAAGCAGAGTATGAATTTGCTAAATAAATTAAACCTGGTTGGTGTGAACAAATTTATTTGTAATTTGGGCACTGATTCCCTTTTGGCTGGATCATTAAATACATTCTATGAGAAAGACTAGGACATGGTAAACCAGACATAATAATTTTATATAAAGCCCATGCATTTTAACTTATTATTTTTTATAAAATGTATGCATCATTTCCCACTACAAAAAAGTCTCAAAGTGCTGTACATATTCAAATACAGAAATTCATACTTAATATAGCATATTGCATCTTCCTTACATTCTGTTCCACACTAATCCCTTTTGGGGTAATTCATGAACTGGCTTTAATCAGCAAAGTCTTTATGCTGCAAGTTGCTGATTTCTAATATATTGTCTCTCTTTCCATATTTTATATGGACAGCAGATGGATCAACCTAGATTTTTCAAGTTCGCTTCTGTAGGTTTTTCTATCAAACTTCCATTTTCCTTCAGCTTCAGATCTTTGGAAACTGCGTCATGCTGTTTACCACACACAAACCTGTCTCTTTAATCGTCTGCTATTAAATCTGTCACTCATCATCATTTGCTGTGTTCTTTTCTTCTCGCCAGGTACAGTAAAGTATATATGCCACTACATTCACCAAAGGGAAGCTTTATAAAAAGATCTAATATTCTCCCAGTCAAGTTGCCTCCTCCACCTCCTCCTTCCTGATTCACTCTTAGCTGGCACAGTGCAGTGTTTTGACATTCTAACTGCCTCCAGAGTGATAGATGGTGACATCATTGCATGAATCAAGCACGAGGTGGCAGTCCATCAAATGAATGGAGGCTTCACGTGGTACTAATACACCTCAGTAAGGAGCAAGTGAGAACAGGAATGCACAAAAATACGTATCTCACATTTCAACCCTGCTACAGCAACAGCACCTTTAATATTTCTTCTGTAGCTAAGATCCCCTGTCCAATTCCAAGAAAAATCCCTGCAAAGTCAGCTAGTATTCTGCAGGAGTGATGCAATGTTGCCAAATCCCATCAGTTAACAGCAACATGTTAAAATAAAAAAAAAAATCAGTTTCAGTGATTCTCAAACAGGTAATATTTTAGAATAGACAGAATTTAATTTCTCTAGAAAGAGACATGATTGGCAGGTATTAATATATTTCACTTGTAATACCTATTTTTTTTTTCACTGTAGTGGTAACACAATCACATGTTCTCAGACCAATCGAGCATTTGCACTAAGAAAAGCTTGGGTGTCAAGTGGTGCTGGTCATTCTGGTTCTCAAGCGGAGAAAGATACTTGTGCGCTTTACAGTCTTGGAAATATAAAAGGCCTCTTTGCTTGAAGAGCAGTTCTTCTTGAATATCAGTGTTACTTAAAGACAGCATTAAATGCCCGCCCAATGATTATTCTCCGCACCTCACTGGTTCCTGCCCCTATTTCATACAGTTTGGCATCACGCAGAAAGCGACCCATGGGGTAGTCATTGATGTAGCCATTTCCACCTGCAACATAAAAGAGAAGTCCTGGAAGTTGGAGATCCTGGATATAGACTGATCATATCCATGGGATGACAAATGTTTAAGTCATTTGGAATGCAGATCACTAGTAACTTACAAATCCACAGCTTATCTGCAGGACAAGGGGGTGCCTGTAAGGAAGAGACTCTAGGCCAGTGGTGGCAAAGCTATGGCATTTGTGCCACAGGGGGCACGCAGAGCCCTCTCTGTCAGCACGCGAGCGAAGTCGCCCCAGCAGCTGAGCATCGAATAACAGCACACATAGGGGCCACCCGCATGCTCAGAAAGGATGATGTCACGCGACTCATTAGCCGCGACTCATTAGCCATGACTCATCTGAGCTTTCACATGGCTGGTCAGTGCACTGCCAAGGATATGTATATATTTGCTTGGACTGGCTGTGAGTTTTTTCTAAACTACAACCTCAGTTTTCAGGTTTGATTGCAGTGTTGGCACTTTGCGATAAATAAGTGGGTTTGGGGTTGCAGTTTGGGCACTCAGTCTCTAAAAGGTTCACTTATATAACTAGGTTAGGGTTATAAAAACAAGGTGGCCTAGTATGATTTTAATGGTTGGAATGTGTTTAGAATGAGCAGAAATGATGAGCTGTGCAGAAAAAGCTACTCAAGGAAGGCTTTTTTGAAATCACCCTCCTTTCTATGGAACTTTAGCCCTATATTAGGGTTAGGGGTATGCACCAGGGTAGGGTTAGGGTTACAAAAACAAAGTGTCTTGGCATGACTTTGATGGTTGGAATGTGTTTAGAATGGGCAGAAATGATGAGCTGTGCAGAAAAAGCTACTCAAGGAAGGTTTTTTCAAAATCGCCCTGTCAATGGAACGCTCCCTGTATTAGGGCTAGGGGTATGCACGAGGGTAGGGCTGGGGTTACAAAAATGAGGTGTCTTGGCATGCTTTTGATGGTTGGAATGTGTTTAGAATGGGCAGAAATGATGGGCAGTGCAGAAAAAGCTACTCAAGGAAGGTTTTTTCAAAATCGCCCTGTCAATGGAACGCTCCCTGTATTAGGGCTAGGGGTATGCACGAGGGTAGGGCTGGGGTTACAAAAATGAGGTGTCTTGGCATGCTTTTGATGGTTGGAATGTGTTTTGAATGGGCAGAAATGATGGGCAGTGCAGAAAAAGCTACTCAAGGAAGGCTTTTTCGAAATCACCCTCTTTTCTATGGTATTTTGTCCATATATTAGGGTTAGGGGAGTGCACCAGGGTAGGGTTAGGGTAGTGGTGGTGAACCTATGGCACACATGCCACAGTGGGCACGCAGAGCCCTCTCTGTCAGCATGTGAGCCAAGTCACCCAGCATCGTCCCAGCAGCTGAGCACTGAATAGGGCAGCGCACATAGGGGCCATGCACATGCTCGGAAAGGAGTAGTGTCGCCAGGTGATGACTCAGTAGCCGCGACTCATCTGAGCTTTCGCATGGCCGGTCAGTGCATTGCCAAGGATATATATATATTTGCTTGGACTGGCTGTGAGTTGTTTTTTCTAAACTAAAACCTCAGTTTTCAGGTTTGATTGCAGTGTTGGCACTTTGCAATAAATTAGTGGGTTTTGGGTTGCAGTTTGGGCACTCGGTCTCTAAAAGGTTTGCCATCACTGCTCTAGGTCATTATACAACCATGTCTAAGTTAACTTGTTTCTCAATGAATAATCACCCACATCTATGATCTTACCCAGACACTGGATTCCATCCAAGGCGACTTGAGTAGCACACTCTGCAGAGTACAGAATTACTCCAGCACAGTCCTGGAGGAGAAGAGGAGATCATATGCATGGAAGGAGAAGTTCAGGATTAGATACACAGCTCCTCTAAGCCCCCAAATAACTGGGAAAATAGACTCCTGATGAATTGTATCAGATTTAATATTTATGTTATGGTCACAGAAGGAACAGCACAACAGTTCTTTTACGAGGCAAGGACACTAAGCCTTACAACTCCCTCTCCTCCACGTGCAACAACAGAAACTACAATTTGGTAGCTTCATACTATGTACAGGTTAGTACACAGAATTTAAGAAAAGGCTACACTCTAATCCATTGTCTTATCTGATTGCCATCTTTGAAGCATATGTAGCTATAACGTACATCTTAGATGTAGCAGTTGCAACACCATGGTGTTACTCACATAAGTGAAAACAAACGTACTGCCAAATGGGCAAGGAAGTATTTTAAGAAAGAAAAGGAACTATTAAAAACATTTATCTTTTCCGCTTCTGAGTTAAGTCTTTTTCACTGCTGCTCCTTCACTGCCTCCCATCTACACAATACAGAAGGGGCAGTACAGGGGGCCATCACCACAAACAACAAGCCATGAGCTCACCTTTGCATTGAAGTGTCCTCGATCACAAGCCTTTGCCACATTGTACACATACTGCCGACATGCCATCAGCCGTGTGTACATATCAGCCATTTTACCTTGCATGAGCTAAACACAGCAGTAAAAGGAGGGAAGAAAATGAAAGGTATTTGGATTCATTTTCAACATTTTATCCGTTTGTAGAAATGTTCTATACACAAACTGAAAACAATATACAAAATTCTCAAGCTGAAATTATGCCAATGCAACATAGAAACCAAATATTGTATTTAAAATTTAGTCAGTAGCAATTAAGAGCTCATTTTAAAAACTACAGCCCTAAAATGCCTGCTGAAAAAGAGAGTGTTTGGCTGCCTACTAGAAGACAAACAACAATGGAGCCATGCACCCTCCCTTTGGCAGGGTATTTCAACACCCCAGTGTCACCACAGAAAAAATTGCATCCCTTTTGCTTACTGATCAGGAGGAAGACCTCAAGAAGTTGGATGATCCAATACTAGATGATACAATGTGATTCTTAAGAAATTCTGACCTCAGACCAGTACAAGCCAAAGTCCAACCGCAGACTGCTTAGTAATATAATTGATACAAGCTGTAGTGGGACATGCTGAAACCTGCTCAAGTTAATATTCTGGCAGCCACATTCTAGATCAACTGCAGTTGTTGAGCAATTGTTGAGCAGGTTGTTCAAAAGACAACCTGACATAAGAGTACATTACATTAATCTGACTAGGAACTGAGTAAGGCATAAATGACCAAGGCAAAAAATCTGCTTTTTCAAGGAAAGTGAAGGAATATAACTAATATTTAATCTGCAAATTTGGGAAAGAGAACAGACAACATTAAAGAATGTGAAATTAAGAAGTGGAACTCTTTATTGCTGCTAGGCTTTTCTATAGATTGGAAAAGACTAACAAAATGAGAGAGTTCCAGAAAGGAGACAGATGATTGCTTTACGTATATGAAAATCATACCTAAGTTTGGTCCTTTCTACCTGCTTCCCACAACCAGCACCTGTAGTGACTCTCACCACACATGGAAACATAGAAGCATATAAACAGATTGAGTCAGAAGGGGCCTCCTGGGCTTTCTAGTCTGATCCCCGGCTCCAGCCGGCTCCGCTCACGACATGCCCACCATGTACATGTCCAGCCTTTCTTTGAACACCCTCACCGATGGGGCCTCAACGACCTCTCATGGAAGCCCATTCCACGCCTTCGGGGTCCTAACTCTCAGGAAGTACTTCCTGGCATCTAAATTGAACATATCCAGAGGGCATTATTTCTGGCATAGTGCTTTTAGATGTTGGGGTATCAACCATTTTATATGGAATGAATTCTCTATTCATACATGCATACTGACTTTTCAAACATGCATTTGAATCCTGATGCTAGGTGAACTCCTGGGCCACCAATTCAAGGACATCCACATTTGCCTGCCCCCTGAAAATATCTGCATCCCTGACTTATACCAGAAGTAGGAAAAGAAAGAGGAGAAGAGATACCCTAACTCCCATCATCTGCTTAAAGAAGACAGAATAATTTCCTGCTCCCCAAAGCAAAGAGAAACTGAAACAAGTTTCAGCTGAATGAATCATGGTGTTGAATGAGTCAGTATTATCTCAAAGTCATTGGAGAGAAAATATTACTCAAGACAAACAGTGGTAGGACAGATTCCAGCACCACTTGTACAAAAGGCAGCCTGTAGTGCAAAAGCACATTGCAATTCCAAACAGTACCTTTCCTCCAAATATGAGCCTCAGGCTCAAACAGTTATCTAATCAGTTGCTTCAAGATCTTAGGCATCATAACAACTTGGATTTCCCCCAGTACTAAATTCCTTAATGATGAATATCTTGAGGTTCCAGCAATACCTTTTAATGTTACTTTAAAATCAGCCAGCAGTTAAGATACCTGAGGGAAAATAGCCTGCTTTAGCTCTGTATTTTAGGAAACAAGGCAGATACATTTACAGAGAGGTACATCCAACCTTATTTAAATAAGTAGGTCAAGTGAAAAAATAAATAGGTGCCTGCCAAAATCTTAGAGCATGCTCTGGAAGTTCACTGGCAGCCCTCTGATTGCTCTTACCTGGAAATGGCCAATTTTCTGCCCAAAAGCTTCTCTCTCATGTAAATATGGTAAAGCATGGTCTAGGACAGCCTGCATGATCCTGCAAGGGGAAGAAATACTTGTATTCATTTTACAAATTTGTATCCCACCCTTGAAAATTCTGCTTTCAAAGGTTTTATCAAAGGGCTAAAATAAAATAACCATCATTTAAAAAAGCAATCAATAAAACCAGAAGACTAAGAGCAGTAAAAACAATAAAATGCAGCTTGCAGATCTAATTGCGGTAATTTAGGGATAAACAGGACACTGACCACCTGCTAACTATGATGTACCAAGGTGCTGAACACTTACCTTGGAATATTCAAGTGTATACACATGGTAACATCTTCTGGAATAGGAAAACTTGTACACTACAAAAATTAAACACACTATGTTGGTCCAGGAAGGGACCACAGCTCAGGGGCAGAACTTGGGAAAACAAGGTCCTAGGACCAATCCCTGGCAACTCTGGTTAAAAAGATCAGGCAGTAGCTGATAGAAAAGATTTCTTTTGCCTGGAACCTTGAAGAAGCACTGCCAGTCAGAGCAAACCATACGACTATATGGACAAATAGTTTGTTCTGGTATAAAACAAGTCCTTTTGATCCTACGTTTATTAGAGTAAGCAGGCATTTGATGTCATCAAAACTCTTCACCAGGACTGATATTTTTTTAAAAAATAACAGTTTGCAGGGGGCATTGATGGGAAGAGAATGTCACAAGACATGAAAAAGCTTGCCTAGTCTGCAATCATACTAAAAGGGTCTCACATGTATTGGTTGGCCTTGGCAATCAGTCAAAGTCACCTTGCTTTCCAGAAGTCCTCATACATAGTGCAGTGCTAGAGTGCCCAGGTATCTCTAACCCAGGAGAAGGGCAGGGAACTCTCCCTGAGCTACACTTGCATTAGAGCAAAACATGCACTTGCCATGTCAAGGTGGCATGTTTATTTTTGTCCTGGCTCAACTTCAGGAAGAACACTGGAGCAGTATGACAATGGAACCAATGACCTAGGGAGGCTATGGGCTCTCCCACATGAGAGACATTCAAGGTGCAACTGGACAGCCATCTGAGAGGGACGGGTTAACCTGGAGTTATGAGCAGGGAGTTTGAAGTAATGGCCCCTTCCAATTCTACTATTCTACGATTGTATCCTAGAGTGAGGCTTTATCTATATGATACAGAGCTGAACCAGAAGATCACTTTTATTTTACAGCTCTTTTATCAGATGCCAACCATTGGGCTAGATATTGTAGCACTTAGAAGTCCTACCAAGTCCTCTGGAAAGAAGATCAGTGGTACAATCTGACAGATGTGTACTTAGAAGCAAGTCCCACTAAGTTTTAAAGGCACAATTCTATGCTAATTTGGACATTAAAAAGACCCACAATTCCCAATATGGCCCAGCCAGCTAGATTATCTACAGTTACCATCTTATCCAAGGTTGACTTGCAATGCTTTGCATTAAGAATACGAACTCCCATTCATTGCTGTTATGTGCTGTCAAGTTGTCTCTGACTTATGGTGACACTAATGAATGAATGCCCTCCAAAATGTTTGTCCTTCACAGCTCTGCTCAGCTCTTGTAAGACTTTATGTCAATTCATCTCATATTTGGTTTTCCTCTTTTTTTCTGCATTCAACTTTCTCTAGCATTTTTGCCTTCTCCAGTGAGTCTTGTCTACTCATGATACAACAGCCTCAGTTTTGTCATTTTTCCTTCCAGGGATTTCCCATTCTGGCTCTTTAAATAGGATGCTGAAATCCAAACATTACACTTAGTGATAATTCATACACTCAGCTAACTCCATGCCCTCCCTAAGCATGAAGGAAGCAAGAGCAACATGAAGCAAGAGCCACATGCTTGATAATTTGTTTCACCAATGTGGGGGGCTGTTGACACTGTTGCTAGGATTTGCACAACCACTGCAGATATTTTTGAGCTGACCTAATTGCACATAGTACAGCAACCATGTGGCTACAATGATTGGTGTTCCCTAGCAATGGAGGCAATGGCAGCTGTGTGCGCTCCTGGAGATCGTAGAATCAAAGAGTAGTAGAAATGGAAGGGGCCAATGAGGCCATTGGGTCCAACCTCCTGGTCAATGTAGAATGACTGTTTCAGGCCTGGTGGTTGTAGAAAAAGGGGCCCTTTTTCTAGGCTACTTGTAAATAATTTTCAGGTCAAGGAAACTATGTAATGAAACTAAAGGATGAGACCAGCTGAAATGGTAAGATAATTTCCCATATCAGTCAAAACAATTTGCCCTTGTGCTAAATGCTGGCATATTGTAAAGACAGTTCAGAATCTGCAGCTTGTTCAAAATGCAGCAGCAACATTAATAACTGGAATCACATGGCCAAAACATATAACACCAGCTCTGGCACACTTGCACTGGACACCTATATGCTTCTGAGCCTCATTCAAGGTGCTGGTTTTAATTTATAAACCCTACACAGCTTGGAACCAAAATAATCTGACATAAAATAGAAACATAAAAACAGAGCAAGTCAGAAGGGGCCTCCCGGGCCATCTAGTCTGACCCCCTGCTCCAGCCGGCTCTGCTCACGACATGCCCACCATGTGCATGTCCACCATGTGCATGTCCTTGAACACCCTCACTGAGGGAGCCTCAAGCACCTCCTGTGGAAGCCCATTCCATACCCTCGGGGTCCTAACTGCCAGGAAATGCTTCCTGGCATTTAAATAGAACCTTGGTTCCCTGAGCTTTGCTCCGTTGGAGTGCATCCTGCCTTCCTCTGCAGGGGAGAACAGGTCTCTACCCACCTCCGTGTGACCCCCCTCACATACCTGTATGTCGCCAACATATCCCCTCTGAGTCTCCTCTTCTCCAGGCTGAAGAGACCCAGTTCCCTCAGTCTCGCCTCATACCCCATCCCCTGCAAACCGGCCACCAACCTTGTGACCCTACCCTACACTGACTCTAACCTGGCTATATCCTTCCTGTAATGAGGGGCCCAGAACGGAACACAATACTCCATTTGCGGGTGCACCAGAGTCATATAGAGTGGTAGTAATACCTCTCTTGATCTAGAAACCATGCTTCTGGCTATGCAACCAAGGGTGGTGTTTGCCCTCTTGACCACATCACACTGCTGACTCATGTTTAGCCTGCAGTCAACCAGTACCCCGAGGTCTCTTTCACAAGTGCTGTTCTCCAGCCACTTGTCCCCTAACCTGTACTTATGACACCCATTCCTATGCCCCAAGTGCAAGACTTGCACTTAACCACATTGAACGCCATCCTGTTGTCTCCTGCCCACTTCCACAGTCTGTCCAGATCCTTTTGGATCTGGAGTACCTGCTCCTCAGTTGTGGCCACTGCCCTGGTTTTTGTATCATCTGCAAATTTGATCAGCAGACAGTTTACCCCTTCTTCCATGTCATTGATAAAAAGATTCAACATGATCAGCCACAGGACGACCCCACTTGAACGTATCCTTCAACCACAATGTACACAGACACTTCACTCGACATCTGAGTCTTTCTTCTGAATGCCATATCCAAGAGAGGTTCTGTTGTTAACAAAAAGGAGAAGGGCCTTCTCTGTGGTAGCTCACAAATTATGGAGTCATCTCCCTACCAAGACCTGTCTAGCACCAACTTTACTATCTTTTCAGTGTCAGGTTAAGACCACCCTATTTGCCAACTCTAAATAGCACAAGGGGTGTGGGGGTGAGTATTGCCAGGTTTTTTAAAAACAGGACTAGTAATATGGTCTGGATTTGATGCTAAAATGGACTTTTAACATTTTAGTGTAATTTCATGATATTTTTATAATTTTGTCTTGTATTTTATTGTACTTTTTAACTGTTGTGTACTGCCTAGACAGCTTCAGTTATTGAGTTACACAGAAATAAAATAAAAATGAAGAAATATTACCATAAGTTGCTGAAACCAAACTGCAGAAAAACAAGCAAGTTATGTGTCTAGAATAATAAATAAATATGCATTTACCCCAGTGGCCCACCAGACAATACGAGTCTCTCCAGATCCAAGCCACTCATCAATACATAGACTCCTTTACTCACTTGTCCCAAGATGTTTTCAGCTGTGACAGATAAACCAAAGTTAGTTGCATAGCCATATAACTGTCATAGATGAAAGGGGTATTCCATTTGATATGTCCATGCATCCATGTACATGTATATATGCTATACAGACACATACAGTGTGATCTCTTTTATCATCTTAATTTTCAAACACCATGAAGAAGACAGCAGTAGTATCTTGCACATCAAAATGTCTTTATGATCCAAGTCTTAATACCACTGCTATGAGGCAAAAACAAATTAGAACATTATGACCTTCAAAGGCAACTTGTTACAATATATTAGCAATTAATGGTTGACCAATCTAGCATGATTACAGATGTTTGATCCTGGAAGATGTAGAATTTTAAAATATGTATTTTGTACAACATAGCAAATGTATACATTCATTCAATGTATACAGAAGTGTACAGAAATGTTATGCCCTGTATGAATGTGACATGTTAGGGACATTGGCTAATATTTGCTCATTCTGCAGAAATCATTTTATTTTGTTGATCAGAGGGAAGGGCTAACACCTAAGCAGGACACTGAAGCCCTTCTACTTCACAACTGCAAATGTTGCTCAGACCCAACTACTAGCTACACATTTTCAAACCTATTTTTCCAACCAGAACAATACAACTTTGCTTTAAGACACACCAAAGAAAACAGAAAAATTAAAGGAAGCTGAATTCTGTACCCATTGTCTATTCATGCACTACAGTGGAGGTATCAAAGAATACAGCACAAATTTCGACAACAGGTATGATTCTATGCTACATAACTACTTAATCTGTTGTCTTTGGGAGTGTGTTCTTCCCCATAACTAAACTTTGCAGGAACTGGAGAAGGTAATATGGGAAGCAGCATAAAACCAGAAGCATATATAAAACTCAACTGACAAATAATGAGGGTTTTGCAGTTAAATGTAGAGATGGCATGAAGAGATATCTTTTGAAATGCAAAAAAGAGCTGTATCTGAATTTCCAGAGGACTACCTTGAACAATTATGCCTCAAGCAAAATACAAGGTGAGATTTCCAAATCCATTCCTGGCCGCTGGAACATGACCTAAGAGTGTGACTCCATGGGTATCGTTCACTATCAAAGGAACATGTGCTACCCTCAATGGAGCACAAGTGACATGAAGCCACACACTAATACAGCTGACAGGATTGTAACACTAAAGTGCACCTTGATCTAAGAAAGACTTCCAATGATGCAGGGAACTACTAAAGCAGCTCCATATTGAGCAACTACTGAAGTGGCCCTGGGAGATCAGGGGCAGTTCAACAAGAACAAGGGTATTTGGCCCTTTTATGTCTTCCAGCAGGATGAAGACAAAGAGTTTATTCCCACAACAGACTATGTAGAGATCAAAATACACTCTAGGAAAAATAGGGCCCTACCATCCATGTCACTAGCATTTCTGGTGAAACTCCTGGTCTACAAAATGAAAAGAAAAAAAATAGAATCAATATGCTTATTAGGAGTCCTGCTGCTCATCACCAACAGCAGTGCAACATCAAGAAATGCAGAGCAACAGAAGCAAATGGGGACTTTCTATTCCACTGAGAAAGTCAAGTAAGAGAGTTCTTAGATCTGAAATCAGGCACAGGGCATAAACATCTGGTGCCATGCCTTGGCGAGTAGCCAGAGCTTTTTAACAGGAGAAGGTCTTAGAAGATCATTTTCAACTACTGTGACAGCCCAGTCTATCCCAGGTCCAGAAGCCTCTCCATTTTAAACATACAGTCAAGACCTTTCTTTTTCAAAAGGTGTTTTATCATTAGCTCTGTGTTAATTGTTTGATATTTGTTGACCAATAGAGATACCTATTGGAATAATTTGTGGCATACAAGTATAAAAATAAATAAAATGTGTAAATAACTGCCTATATTTACTGCTGCTGCTATACTGAACTCTTTTAGAATATATTTTGTTGATTTTATATATAAAGAGAAAGTATATAATGAAGTAACACAGCTTCAGCATCACTCACCAGGAACCTTGCAATCCTCAAAGATTAATTCACAGGTATTTGATCCTCTCATTCCAAGTTTATCAAGCTTTTGTGCAGTGCTGAAACCAGGCATACCCTGAAGAAAGGATACATGTGATAACCCCCTTTTCTTAGAAACCAGAATATACCACAGTGCTTATGGCAGGAATAATTCTGTCCTGAAAAACGCTCAGCATCTAATCACAAAGCAATGACCTGTGTGGGAGTGAACAGGAGTATCAATGGTTTGAATCCAATGGTATAGTACCAGTCACAGAATAGCTCCATCAGCAAAATAATTTTACCCCATCCCACTTCCTGCAAGTCTTCAAAATCTTACTCCAGAGGGCTGGGAAATATCCCAGAACTAGTTTTGGGCAGTGCACAGGGCTGTAGTGAGAAGCAGAGAAAGAAAGTCTCATTGTATCAGCAGATACTCACTAGCATCACATTGGATTTAACTCAATGTGAGAAGCATTATGAAGGAAGCAATGTCTGTAACAGGGAAATCCCTATCCACATTTTAATGTGCAAGACATTGTTTTTTCCTGAAAGGCATTAATCGTGCCATTATTTGGTAAGGAGTTAATCTTCCATACTTTCAGGACGTATTATAGTAGGCTGATTCTGAATGGGTGAAATCCTCTCTCCTGCAGCCGTATTACCCCTCCCCCTCAACAAACACACACAACCCCTTTGCAGAGGATTAGAGGGATCTACTGAACATTGTCATCTATGTCTTATTGGGTTGCAATAGGGGGTGGGAATCTTGTAATGCTTTTTGTAGTTCCCATTTTTGGACAATGTTCCTATCCTATAGCAACCCCATCAAACAGAGCTCACAATGCTCAGCAGATCCCCCTGCCCAAATCATAGGGTACAGGGGGATGTAGAAAAGAACCTTGTAGAAGCCTGCCCCTCTGATTTGCACAACACTGGATTTTACCCAGTGTTTAAAAACAGGCAAATAATATCAAACAATGACTTGAATCAAGTCATGTGAAGATCTCAAGGTGACTTGCAATAATTATCAAAATATACATTCAAGTAGTAAGATACAACAACCCTAACAAAACCATTTAATAAAAAGAATGCAACAGAGACTTACAAGTGCAGCACAAAAATATAATTCTGTGGATAACTCAAAGCTACAGCAGATGCTATAAATGTGCTCCCCATTTCTTTTGTGGAGTTTTAAATCCCACTTGGTGTATGTAAGCTGCTGCCCTTAAGTCACCCTCTTTTTTGTCACATCTTTCAAAACAGATTTAACAAAATTAAGTTCAAACAAGGATGAGTACTGATTTTAATCTGTTTTCCCTGGGCGTTAAAACTGACAACAAAACAGTTCATGCAAGAAATTGAATACTGACCATCACTATCTGAAAATGGCAATGATTTTGAAGGTAACAAAGAAAACAGTTTTTCAAAAACATTTGTTTGATTTTTTCCCTCCTTGTTAGGTACATAAAGTCATTATGAATAACAGATCTATTAATAGCTAGGAAAGGTAAACAGAACCTCTAAGTTGGTTCCACCATTTGCTATGCTGGCTAGGGCTGATGGGAGTTGTAAGTCAGAAGATCCAGAGCTACATCAAGTTGCTCTAGGTACAGGGGCAGCTGTGCTCTGAATACCAAATGCAAGGGACAAATGGGATTGCTATGGTTGGAAGTTCTCAGGGACATCTAGCTTGCCACTCTGGAAATAGAACATGCATCATATGAGCTGGCTTGATCTACCAAGCTAACTCTTAGCAAGTGTATTACATGACAGTGCAGAGGACAAGAAGGCACAGGATGAAACAACTCACTTGAAATAAAAACACATGAATGGGCCTGCAGATTGGTTCAAGTGTATTTGACCCATTAAGTTGAACAAGTCCCTGAACTTCCAAGAGTTTGGAAAAGAACTCAGAGTGTGCTATTTCCAAATTAACTCAAGCTGCACTCTTCTGCCTTTCTAGAAATAAAGTATTTCTTTGCTGGTTTGGGGGTCCTGGCAAATGCCCAACCTTGCCATCTCTGCAGTTAGCCTTAGGGAAACCCCTCCTCAGCAAGGTCTCATTATCAAGGCTAAAACCCTTGTCCAGAGCTCTCAGAGAATGCCAGGCTTTTTTAGCATCCTGTGCAAGACAAGCCACAGAACAGCATGGCGGACCTTTGACATAACAAGCCTTATCCTCTGTGTCTCATCTTTATTTTGGCAACATTCCCAGCTTCACTAAGCTGTGCTGAAGCCTGAATCCATGCTTCAGGTACAAGCAATGGAGAAGGAAAAAAGCATGGCTTCTCTCACAGAACAAGTTCTCATCCCCAGCTGATAAGATGCCATCTGGAAAATATCCTTATTAAGCAGGGACAAAGACAGGTTACATCACTGCTCCATAAACCTACCTTCTCCACAATGAATGCTGTTATTCCCTGAGAAGCTGGGACAGTATTTGGATCTGTTTTAGCATAAACAATGAGAACATCAGCATCTGGCCCATTGGTAATCCAAAATTTGTTCCCATTCAAAACAAAATGATCCCCTAAAAAGGAAGGATGGAATTGGTTACTTCTCAGAAAAATAGAAACACCCAGGACTAAACTCTTACTAGACAGTATAAGACAACTGAGATTTCCACAATTTCAAATCCTAAAAGTTCTGGATGTGTGATTGCTTCCATTTCTGCTATTAAAAATACAGGTACTACACAGTTTGGCTCTGTAGTGGGCTCCTTCTACAACCAGTCAGTTCTCATGAAATGAAGAGAGTGCATTCTCCCACAAAAATTAATACATGGTAGCAAAGCCGTGCCATCTGCAAGACTCCAAGGAGGATCTACAAGCCAGAAGAGGAACCTCTGTGAGCTATAATAGATTGCAAACCAGATATTTCTCCCACTCCTAACATATAGATTAGCCTTATTTGTTTCTTTCTTTGTTTCATATTTATACTGCTCAACAGCTGAAGCCCTCTGGGAAGTTAACAAAAGTTAAAATTAAACAAACATTAAAAACACACTCAAACATTAATTTAAAAGAATAAAACCATAATAGCAATTGCAATTGCTATGATTCAACATAGAAGCACAGCAGCAGTACAGAATAAAATTGAATATATAAAAACAAAGTTTAAAAGTTGAACTGTTAAAATATTGGGAAAATAAAAACATCTTCACTTGGCGCTGAAAAGTAGTAGGCTCCAGAAACACCTCTTTGAACAGTTCATTCCAAAACCAGAGTGCCACAACTGAAAAGGCCCTCTTCCTGGTAGCCACCCATGTCACTTCCTTTGGACAGAGTGCCTGGGGGAGGGCTCCCAAAAGTGACCTCAGGGTCTGGGTAGGTACATATGGGAGCAGGTGATCCCATACGAAGATTCAGAAAAGAGGATGACAGACCCACAGGTCAGTGTTTCCCAGGTACTATGAAATTATGGCATGCATAATTTAAAATTAGATTTTATTATTTTCCCTAAGGTAACTCACCCTAACACAGTCAGAAGCCTGTGTTCCCCACTCCTGCCCTTCAGCAATCCCAGTGGGGGTGTTACTTACAACTTGAGATAATAGACTTATAAAGCAAGTATAAGTTATTATTAAAAAGACATGGCGAACTGGTTATCACTCCTTCCACTGCCACACAAACCAACCTGGTTCAATTGATCATTGCTACCTACCATGGTTTGCTTAACACTAGAACAAGCCAGTGGGTTATGCAAGGGTAGAGTAACTCCCAACAGCTTCAGTACAGACAGTATGATAAGCTGTCAGGCTAGAGAACACTGATCTAGACTTAAAGCTATAATTGCAACTGGCAGTGAAATATAGAAATGGGATGCAAAGACCCAGTACAGATCCCAACTGGATTGCACTGACACAAAGAGCTACAGATTATAACAGGTGATTCCATCTTCCTTGGAAACTGTAAGTCTCTTCTGCTGACATACACCTTACCCCTTTCAAATCCTTGCTCTGGTTGAGAGACAGAGACACTTTAGTAATTGTGTTGGTAATACCTGGATGCAACATAGCATACAGATAATTTCAACATTTTAAATGCAACATTCAAAGACTGCTGTTGGTTTTTATAACTGTTTCTCCATCACACACACAACAGCATTTACCTTTTCTTTCTGCCCTCAGCTTCATGGAGACAACATCCGAACCTGCATTGGCTTCACTCATTGCTAGTGCTCCAATATGCTCTCCACTGATCAGCTGGGGAGACATAAGTGATGGGAGAAATGCAAAAGAAATAGATATTACTTCAATCATTCCTTTTCTTTGCCTTAAAAATCACAATAAACCTGGAAATATTTCATACAACGGAGGAGCTGTAAGTACAGATGTTACCTTTGGCAGAATTTTCGAAGCAGATTTACTGGTGCAAATATTTTTTAAAATGGCACAAAATCAAGTAATTGCATTTCTACAAGGAAATGGGAAATGAGCAAAGCTCATGCTTTGGTTGAATTTGTCTCCTGCCAAGAGTACCAAGCTAGCAGCCATAGACATCTCTCTAAGTCCCTGTGCTGTCATGGCCTTTGAAAATGGTTGACCAGAAGGGGCAGACAGTTCAGGAACACTTGGGAAAAGGCCAGATCACTGGGGGGGGGGGGGGGGGATCTGCAGATGCCAAATGGAAAATGATCATGGAAAATGATGCCAAAATATTAGGCAATAAGCTAAAGCGGCAACACCCCTCAACCCTTGTAATGGAACAGCAGATGGTCACCCTCCCTCTGTGCTCCCTTATGCCATTCTCTGGCACAGTAGCCTCCCTCCGCAATTCATTTCCTCCTGTCCCTTTTTTCTTTGTCTCTTCTCCTCTCTACTCTGTCACATCTAGGTTAGTCTCTTTTCAAATTTATATGGTACAATATGGAAGAGACAGATTACATATGTAATCACCCGCAAGGTAATAGCCAACTAATTAAAACTGTCTTGTGATCTCAGATCAGATCTCTCTATATAGCAAGATGCCTTGTAAACTACTGAACACTGGTGTCTGTTTCAGGTAACTAAGAGTCAGACCAGCCAAGGTTCACCCAAATCTGTTTAACAACTTTGTTGTGAAAACAGTTATGATTGTTTGAACCATGGGAATATAGTATAACAAGGATTTGCTTCATATATGAAAAGGTAGGAGACTTCACCGTCTTTATTTTATTATTTATATCCCACCCTTTTTCCTTTTGCAAGGAACCCAAGGCAGCTTATGCGGTTCTTCTCTCCATTTTATCCTCACAACAACCCTGTGAGATAGGTTAAGCTGAGAGTTTGTGACTCGCCAAAAGTCACCCAGTGAACTTCATGGCCAAGTGAGGACATGGTCTCCTAAAGCCCAGTCCAATACTCAATCACTATAGCACCCCTCCATTCAAAAGCCAAAAAAGCGAATAAGAAATTTAACACTTATGGCACTCTGTAATCTGATTAGCACCAAACACAGGACAGAAGATAGCCAAGAAAAATGAATCACCTGAATCACCATCTCTGACACACTAAATACAAGGTTGTTGTTTATAGAATTCTGAAAGTCATTGTCTACCACCGAGCAACCTGGTGACCTCCATGTGTTAGATGGCAACTCCCATCATCTCAGCTAACAGCCAAGTTGACTGGGAATGATAGAAATGTCACCCAACACATCTGGACTGCACTGACTTGGAGAAGGCTGATTTAAATTGGAAGGATAATAATTATACCCTGCACCAAACTAGGTGATCAACTTAACGGCACTACACAGAAACTGTACAGAAGATATTTACTTTCAGTGACACTTAAATAATCACTGCCATCTTCAGTGATGTGAAATGTCCATGATGCACAAAGATGGGGCTGACTCATAAGCTCAGGAGACTATGGTTCATATAGTCCAGGAGGCTGTGGAATTTGCAATGTAGATTGTTAAAGTGCAGCTAATCACCTCCAAGGCCCATCTGGAACATATTAGTGAGGTGGGAGAAAGCTGTCCCCACAGCCAACTACCCTATCCAAGCTCTGCCAAAGGCAAGTCACAAAAGCTGTGAACAATCTTTGCCAATGCATAATGAGTGTGACTTCTTCAACAATGCTACTCCACACTTGCTCCAATTTAGCATGGATAGCCTGATAGTTGTACAACCCCCATGATCCCAGACAGCTTGGTCAGTAGTTGGGCTGGCTGGGGTGATGGAAGCTGAAGTCCAGCACTTCTGATCTAAGCTCAGGAAGCAGATACCTATGTTATCACCCCACCCACTGTTTCAGTCCCTGACACTGGCTGTAAAGCACTAGAAACTACAGATTAGCTTAATGCTGAAGAGATTGGTTCCTTAAGGTAAGGGTTATTCTCAAGGGGGAAAACCCCTTCATGGCCCCTTCCAAGCCTACTATTCCATGATTCTATGAAATCTAAGCAGACTTCCCTAATCTGTTGTCCTGCAGATGTGTTATGCTACAACTCCTAGCATTTCCTAGCCAATCCTGAGGAAGCTGGGAATTGTAGTCCAAAGCAACTACAGGGTACCGAGTTGGGGAAGTCTGATTTAGGGCCTGGGGAGTGGGCCCTGTTTGAGTCACCACTGCTATGAAGAAGAGACAATAGCCATAGAGTATCTAGTTCTCCAGCCACAATTGCTCCAGTTCTAAGAACTCCCCAGAGAGGTCCGCCTGGCACCGTCGTTATTTGTTTTTCGGCACCAGGACAAGACCTTTTTATTTAAACGTTATTTTAATTGTTAAATTTATTGATTTTATATTTATGCCGGGATGTCTCAAGATTTTATGTATTTGTACAGTTATTTATTTGTATTGGAAGCTGCCCCGAGGCTTTTGCGAATGGGACGGCATATAAGTGTTCCAAATAAATAAATACATACATACATACATACAAAACAGTGTATGCGACTTTCCCCATCTAGTTGCTGTGCAACATTTAATGAGCAACTGTTAAAGCACAGTAGCTACCACTGCCTTTTTAAAAAAAAATCTGATGTTATTGTGCATTACTTTTCCTTCTTACTGTACACCAATTCTGAACCTTAAATATTTTAGAGAAAAAAATCCTTTCCTAATAGAATGCATCATACAAGAAAGGGAAAATATTGCTGAGTAACAGAACATTACTGAGAGGCTGAAGTAGCTTTGCAATTTCTTTATTTTTTTTTAAGGACTAGTATAACAGGGGATGGGACCAGGACCTTTGGGAGCATTTTCATCCTATGGAAGCATCCTATGGTTGGCAAGTGTTTCCTCTTCTTCCTTTGCCATACTGTACACTGGCTTTCCCTAACCTGATGTCCTTCAGCTGTGTCCATCTACAATTCTACAGATTATGGAATGCACTCCCTGGAAAGGGGTGCCTGGTGCTGAGTTTATATTCTTTTCGGCACCATGTTAAAACCTTTTTATTTAATTGCTATTTTAAAAATTAATATTTTTAAAACCATTGCTCCTTTGTTTTTTGTTTTTATATATGGATTTTGTTACTGTTTATTGTTTTTAATTGTACGTTGTGAGCCGTCCCGAGATGCTGAGGCATGTGGTGACGACATATAAAAGTTTTAAATAATAAATAAATTCTCATCATCCCTAATCATGCCCCATGTTGGCCAGGGAAAGATAGGCATCATAACACAGCACATCTAGCTACAGAGCTGGAGAAGGCTATAACAGGCTAGCCAGAACAGGACACAAAACTATAAAGCAAGCTTGCAAATATCCTTGTGTGGAGTGCACTTCAGAAAACAGTGGAGGGTTCAATTTGCAATAAAGCAAACTAGGACCCACTACAGGGGATTGAAGTGTACCTGATACTTTACAATTGATATAATATTGGCTTCTGCTTCTGGTGAAAGATAAAAAACAGTCTCAATACTTAGTGACTCCATGTGACTCATAGAATCATACAGATGGAAGAAGCCTAGAAGGCCAGTGGGTCCAACCCTCTGCTCAATGCAGGACTTCCGTGTCCCATCCAGGGTTCTAATCCTGCTTAGCTTCCAAGATTAGGCAGAAAAGCACTAAGTTTGTCACAATGAGAAACAACATGAAATGTATGATGCACAGAAACCATGAAGAAGGCAGAGGAATCCAGCACTTCCAGGTGTTCCTCTCCTACATGTGAGAGGGAAGACATATATCATAGTGTAGTTCAGCAACAGTGAAATCCTGTACATTTCTACTCAGAGGTAAGCACTACAGAGCTCATCAGGTTAATTCCAGGCAAATTAATACAAAACTGTCACACCTTTCCTCCTCATCTAAATTGAGGAGGAAGTCCCACTGTGAGTTCATTGGGATTTTCAAGTCAACACTGTTTAGGACTGCAGTGCACATGTGAATGTTAGACCAATTGCTGTCTGTTTTCTCTGTCACCCTCAAAGAAGCTGTGTTTGCATTATTTATAGCAATAAATCAAACAAGACAGTTTTAAAACATCTTCAGAATTTTTTAAAAATGCATTTTTCATATGCGAATATTTTAAAAATCCCATTCTGCAATTTTAAATAGAATGACTGAGGGAAAGTATCCAATTTAATTTTATTCTCACAGCACATAAAATATACTTTTAATTAAACTGTTACTCTTCATTCTTCTTGTTCTCTTGTTATCCATACTTCTACATACCTTGGGGAGATATTTCTCTTTCTGGGCTTCACTAGCATTCCTCACTAACTGATTAATACAAAGATTGGAGTGAGCACCATAGCTTAGTGCAACAGCTGCTGAAACTCGAGACATTTCTTCCACCACCAATACATGATCCAGATATCCCATTGCAGATCCACCATATTCAGCTGGTAAGAAAAGAGGGGAGAGAGTATAGTACTGATAACTAGAATTAAAAGTTATGATGTACCTAAGGACATTTTTTCTTACATACACAGAACTAGAATTACAAATTTATGATGCACATAAGAACATTTTTTCTTACATCTACACAAGGGTACATCCCACAAGAACCCACTGTACTATGCTGTGGCACACACATCTAGTTTGTAGCACAGGTGAAAAGACTATGCAAAATTTCTTACATAAAGTAAATATTCATACAGAAAATGGTTTGGACCCAGACTTTTCTCATACTTAAAGTAAACACATTGATTTCTGTGACCTAGTTTGCACATAACAAATCGGTGCAAAGTCAAGTACAGATTGCCATTGAATTGTGGCTTGTCATTATATGTGAAATTTACATTTTGGTTTAACTATGGGTCCTTGAATATGAAGAAGCCAGAGTTCACAGCCCAATAACAAACTAGGAGCTTCTTGGGCTGCCTAACAACCTATAGTTAAACCATAGTGCAGGGTTTACACATAAATATAATTAACGATTCAACAACAATCTATAATTAAATTGATAGACTGGGTTGTCATTATGCACAAACAAGGCCAGTGGATCATGTAATCGCAGTGTATTTTCCATATATAAAGAATATACTTAGATGAGCTACAGATATAATGACCTGATCCGCATATATCAAACCATAAAAACTAGAGAAGAGTGATGGATCCATCTAGTCCAGCATTCTGTTCACACAATGGCCAACCAGATGCCCACAGGAAGTCCACAAATAGAAAACGAGTGCAATAGCATCCTCCCACCCACATTCCTCAGCAAGTGATGTGCATAGGTATATTGCCTGTGATACAGGAAGCAGCATATAGCTGAGTAGTACAGAGTAGTAGCTGTTGATAGCCTTCTCATACATGAACTTGTTCAACCCCCTTTTAAAGCCATCCAAATTGGTGGTCTCCACAACATCCAGTGGGAATAAATTCCATGAACTGACTAAGTACTATATGAAGAAGTAATTCCATTAAGCTGGCCTGATTCTCCTACCAATCAGCATGGATTCTTTTATGACAAGAGAGGGGAAAACCATCTCCGCACCCACTTTCTCCACACAATACATAATTATGCATACCTCTATCAAGTCTCCCTTTTTTCTAACCTAAACAATCCCAGATGCTGTAACCTTTGCTCATAAGGGAGTAGCTTCAGCCAGTTCATCATTTTAGTTCCACTTTTTTTGCACTTTTCCCAACTTTACAATATCCTTTGGTGACTAGAGCTGTACACAATATTCTAAGAGTGATCACACCATAGAACTGCATAAGTGAAGTACATCTTGGCAGTTTCATTTTCAGCTCTTCTCCTGATTATGCCTAATTGATTCATCATGGTTTACTGGATTACAGGATGTTATGTACAAAATAGGGACTATGGGTTAGTTTCTGTTTCAAAGAGCCTTGAAATAATGTTTGCCAGTAGTTTTAGGTTTTGGCCTCATCCCTTTTGCCTTTGACACCACACACCACTGGAATGCAACCCTTGAAAGCTTCTTCAAAATGGAAGTCAGCCCCTGGGTTGAAAGAGGTTCTAGATATCTGACCAAGACCAACTAATCACAAATAACTACTGTATAACTACTCCAACTGTCCTGTTTTATTTTGTTTTACTGCAGGTGTATATAGCTGTAACAGCTATTTCCACCTTGTAAAAAGTACCAATTGGACATGCTGTCAAGAGCTGAGACAGGATGAATATATGCTTACCTGGAGCAGTTATTCCCAGAACACCTAGGTCCCCCAGCTTCTTCCAGAACTCCTTCAAAGAACAGAACAAAGCTATTAATAAGGTTCTGGTCTGTGATGACAGCATGCAAATAATTTTTACTGCATCAACTTAGTTGCCGTGCAAGGAAAGGACTGATGAAATAATGATTGCCTTGGAATCTACTGTGAATTAGAAGGTTAAAGCCAGCTTCATATCCATTTAATCTTTCATTTTTTAAACAACTAACTTGTTTTATACTACTTCCTTGCAATTCTGGCTGCAGCTACCCACCTTTTTTCTTCAAGATAATGAACAACATAACCCAGAATAAATTAACACATGAACTGTTTTGCTTAAATTACAAGCCCTGTGGTTCTTCTGGAGTCTCACTTGACAGAATTCTGGTGCAAGTCTAATGCCAGCACTGTAAAATTGCTATGCATGCAATCATTAGCTCACAAGATATGAAGAATGTTTATATAGCTACATTTTCCATGAGGTGATACCCACTAGCCAAGACTTGAAGTTTGCATTACACCTCCAGCTAACAGACTGGAGCCTCTGCGTCAGAAGGTTATTGTGTATAAAGTGTCTACAAAATTACACCCTTGCTGATGCTTCATGCAGAAATTGTTACACCCCTTAAACTTACCACAGGTAATGAGGTGGGGATGCTTTAGAGGGCTGCCTTTTCTTTTTCCAAAGCTTTTAAGACAACAAATAGCTAATCTGCATGCAGAGAGAAAGTAAAACTTTGTATGTTCTAGTAATAACTAGTGTAGACTCATTTTCCAAGGCTTATTTGCTGTCACATCATCTGTTTTACTCAGTCTTCATTCAAGTACATTTATATAGACCTTTTGCCTTGATTTTATTAGAAAGGCCACTTTTCCAGACAAGAGCTTAATTTCAGCACATATCTGGAATAAAGGATACCATCTCCTTCTACAAAGCTAGTTTTTTCACCTGCCTATTGTTTTGCCATTGTTCCATCTGCTTTCATTGTTTGTGTACAGCTAGGACAAGCTTGGTTTAACTACAGCTGCACAAAGGAATTACAGTGGGCAGAAAAGTACATCTTTGGTTGTTTTGGATTTCAAATCCCAGCATTCCTGACCACTGGTCATACTGGCAAGGTTTTCTGAAAGTTGAAATCCAAAACTCCTGGGACTGTCCCTTTGGTTCTCCTTTGATTTACAGTGCAGCAAAAGAGCAATTTGGCAAACCCTACCTATCTTTGGAAAGGACCAAGCCCTATTCTTGTAAGCAGGTAAACTGCAAACTGAACCTTCCCTTATCACCAATGCAGCATTCTTTTTACAGCTATAAAGAACCATGGATACTTATCCCTATTGTTGCTGCCTTCTGAAATAAAAAGAACATCCTGTATAGTTAACAGCACTGCATTGCTCTTTGCCCTGGCTGGAATCAGAGGACTTCAGCCAGGTTGTTCTAGGAGCAGGATAAGCACTACGATGCAAAGCAGGATGCAAGGCACTGCCTCTTAAATTGTGGGCCAACTCCGTCTGAAGGTGCTGGGGAGACGCATGAAGTTCCAGAGAGGAAGAGGAAATTGTAAAAAGAATAACCAACGATACCTTTCTTCCATGCACATACTACTACTACTGCCACCACCACCATCAGAACTACTGTGTTACCTATGGAAGCTGCAGAGAAGAACATTTACACCAGTTTTTCTTCCTGCCTGGCTGCTGCTTTCATGGAATAATTTGGGGTCTATCCTAGTCTTCCTGGAATGCCATGCATAATCCACACATTCTGTTTACATGAGGTTGAGCTTGGATATGGTATAAGGGCCCAATCTGATAACCCTCAAATCCAGCTTGGTCAAGGAGCAGGCAAGTGGTATGATGAAGTTTCTCCAACATCAAAGACAGAGAGTTCACAAAGCAGACTGTTAGACTAGATACTAGCAATAAGAGTGACAAAGACAGTCCTAGGTTACTTATGCATGATATCAGTCCAAAGGTCAAAGGAAGCACAGTTTTGAGACTAGGAATTGAAGTAAGCTGTTGTTTCAGCACCTGATAGGACACCATGACATCTTACGTGCTGGAACCTCCAAAGTGCCACTCAGGAATTAGCTGCATCACATTAGAGGCTTCTGTGAAGTTGTCCTCATGAGACATGACCTGCACAAGGAGCCGCATATTCATGAGCAGCATCCATTTCTAAACTGGCACTCCACATGTGGGTTCTTCTGTTCTAGTCTACTACTTCAGATACCTCTGTTCTCAGGGACTAGGGCGTTGGCTCTGCTTAACTGGTAGAGTTCCTCAAATCTTGTGGGATTGGATTTGAAGCCATCTCTACAAGGGCCCAGGTTCCTCCTGGCTGCTCTGTGGAGCTCCTCATCTCTAGAAGTTAAAGCTCCATGCTTTTAGGAGGATTCCTTCCGGAGGCGGGGGGGGGGGGGATGACATAGAGTTGCTGTTACCAGGCATGTAGCTCTAAGCCTAAATTCTGCTGAAGAGATGACTCCAAGAGGGTTGGTAGAAGGCTAAGTTTAAAAAGAGGTCAGAAAAATGAGAAATGTGGTCACGCTTTAAGTTAAGGGCAGGATGATGATGACGACAACGATGACAACATTTGTATTCCTCTCCCAGCCCACAGCTAGCATGTTACATTGCTGCAATACAGGAGCAAAATGGCAAATCCTTTTGCTGACAATGCAGTTAAAAGTCAACCTTTTAATCAAGCGTAAAAGAATGAACTATATTCTGCAGTAGCTTGAATTTATTATAACTTCTTCAACTGCCTATATTTTGACAATAATAGGACAATACTTTTGTTAAAGAGTCTTCCCTGCAGTCTTGTATTTAAGAACTCAGCTGGAAGGCACAGCTGATGAAAAACTGCTTTCAAGTTAAGTGCATGGAATTACATGCAGCCAAATGAGTAGGTTGGAGAAGAGATGGAGTTGGACTTTGTCCCCCTTTTGCAGTCAACAGAGAGAAAAAGTGGGCTGTCAGAAAACAGAAGCCCTCCATTCCAAAACTAGCATACCAATTCAGCAAGCTACTGGTAGAGGGGTGATCTTGGCTGCCTCCTCTATTAGGCCTCAAAAGACTAATAAAAAATTGGGTAGGCTAGTAACTTTTTCAGGCTTATTTACACAGGTACCTAAGTGAAAAAGTTATTTTGTATGCTTGAAGGGCTGCAAATTGTACCTCCATGAAATAAATAGTATTATCTGTATTAGTAACCAATGATACTTTACGTACGGTTGGGAACTGGTTACTGTTCCAAGCTTCCCTGATCAATAATACTATATAATTCAATTACACATGCCTACAGTGTCCAAAATCGGTTTCGTAAAAGGCTGTTGTAAACATTTTAAAGCAATTCTCTGTGCAATAAAGAAGATGCCCAAAGCTCTTGAAGATATGAGCTTTCAAAGCACTGCAAGGCTTATAAAAGGCAACACTGAGAAACAGCACATTCCATAAAAATGCCTCTTGCTCATCAAATTTACAGGTACTATTAGATAGAATGTATTAAATTCCATGTCCTAGAAGCCCAAGATTGTTAACAGGCAACTCTTCACAGCCAGCAGAAGGTTCCAAGAAAACATTTAGGTGCTAAAAAGAAGTCCCACATGTAACAGGAACAGAAATCTTTGAAAGTATTCAATGAGAAAGAAATTCCAAAGATTCTTATTTTGGTTTTGATGAAACAGATGCTCCCCATGCATTTAGTTAGCTTTGATCTCTCTAACAGGCATGTCATAATGCTCTCAAATCCTTTATTTTTTGTATTTTAAATTTATGTATAAGTACTCCACAAATCCATGGTTTATAGCAAACTATGGAAAATAGCAAAAGCACTTACCCTCATACCTTTGAATTCATTCTGCTGATCAATTTCTTGGGCCTTTGGAGCCAAGTGCTCCTGACAGAATTTGATCAAAGTCTGCCTGAGCTGTTAGAAACAGGATAAAATATATTATAAACTACAGTTTCTAATTTCTTCCCTTCATATGCTATCACACACTTTTCCTAGCAGAACTTTTCTTTGACATCTAAAGCCAACTACGAAATACTCAAATCGCTAATTATTATCAATATAGCTACTTCATGCTGTGATGACCAGACACCTACCAAGTTACTGACAAAGTATGTCCAGTGCAAAGTAAATATATAATTGCAGCTGTTTTCAAATTGGTTTTAACCAGCTTTTAATATTGTCCATGGGGTCGCGATGGGTTGGACGCGACTTCATGACTAACAACAATTTCCAATGTATATATTTTAATTGTTATTGTTTTAATTTATTGTGTATTTTATTATGTTGTGAGCCGCCCCGAGGCTACGGCAAGGGGCGGCATAGAAATGTTTTAATAAATAAATAAATAAATAAAATATCAAAAACTTTAAAAAGTTCACACTAACATCCAGCTGCTCCTGTAATGTCAATGATGAATATTATAAAGTACAAGAAAGAAATCAATCTAACATATTGGACATTTTATGGCCCTCCAGGTGTTTTGGCTTATAACTTTCTTCAGTCCTAGCCAGTATGGACACTGAGGAGAGTTACAGGTCAAAACATCCAGAGGGCCATATGTTGTCCACCCTTCTTTTAAAGGTATCCAGCAAAAATATTACAAAGCCAGTCCAAGGATAGCTACTGTATTTCCCTGAAAATAAGACCTAACTGGAAAATAAGCCCTAGCATGATTTTTCAGGATGCTCATAGTATAAGCCCTACCCCAAAAATAAGTCCCAGTTAAGACTGTCAGCCGGATAGATACATTTAGTCCATCCATTGCAACACACGACTGATGTATTGAATTATAAAATAATATTAATATATTATTAAATAGAAATAATATTATTGACATTAATACTTAAAATAAATGATAATATAAATTATAATTAAGTATTTGTACTTAATTGGGCGCCAAGTGGGCGCCTTTGGACAAGAGGTAAACAAACGCCTATGTAAACAGATGAACTCGAGATTTATTGCCAAATGACCAGTCGGCATACAGACACAATGCACAAATAACACGTGCACTTGATAACAAACAGACGTGTTTCATAATTCAATATGTTGTGTGTTGTAACAGACGTACTTAATGCACTTGTGTGTTGCCACTCTTGTCTCGTAAGTCATCAATTAACACTTGATTTAAAGGGAGTAATATTTTGACCCCAGACAAGATGAGTACAAAAAGAAAGAGCTATTTGTAAAGTACAAGAAAGGAATCATGGAGCACTCTTGGGGAAGGAATCTTACAGCTTTCATAAGAAAAAATAAGATATCACCTGAAAATAAGCCCAAACGCATCTTTTGGAGCAAAAATTAATATAAGACCTGTTCTTATTTTTCAGGAGACACAGTATACAGAACTCATGGCTGAAGATGCAGTGTTGTTACAAAGTTGGGACTTTGCTGAATGTTAGGGTTGTAAAATGTATGAAGTCTTTGGTAACCAGTTAACTATTTATAGAAGATTAATACACTTCAAACATAACATATACTAAAAATTGTTTTCAGTTGAGGTTTGAGTCTTAGTTTTGTGTTAATAAGAATTAGTATGGGAAAATACATGGACCCACTTTTCATTTTCATCATAAAATATGAAAGCTTACAATCATACATATTTTCTTGTTATTATAAGAGGACCAGTAATGATACAATTCTATACATGTTTAGACCAAAAGAAGTCCTAGAACTCCTAGCATTCCCCAGATAGAATGGTTGGCTGGGAAATGATGCAAGTTATAGGACTTTTTTCTGTCCAAACATGCATAAGATTGTGACTTTAATATCCAGAAGTATTAATATTTTAGCAGGAAATATTTCCAAATCATTTTTATATTTGAAGATTTCAAGTCCTAATACTCTAAAAATAGCACTTTCATCTAAGTATCAAGCTATTATTTGTCATTAAACTTTTAAAAGTTTTCTCACTTTTTTTAAGGCAGACAGGTTAGCAATATTTCAACAATTTCCAGCAATTTTAATACAGGTATTCTTTTAAAACCCTTCACATATTCCTATTTGCATTTCAAATAACATCAGACTCTATGAAATGATTAACCTCAGAATATGCACCACAACATAGTTACACATTCTCATGGTTACAAAATTTACAAATGTCATGTCCAATCCAGCTAGATAAACCAAATCAAGCAACCTACTTCTACTTTACAAATGTTACAACTGGGTTCTGATAATTGTGGGCTCAAATGCATTGTTAGTGTGTTGTGGCTCAGACCCCATTTCTGCTTTGTTATTGTTAGTTGCATTGTGCCTCCATGGACAACATTCCTCCAGGCCTTCCTGTCCTCCAACATCCTCCAGAGTCCACTTAAGCTCACACCGACTGCTTCAGTAACTCCATCTAGTCACCTCATTCTCTGCCATCTCCTTCTTCTTTTGCCCCCAGTTGTTCCCAGCATTAGGCTCTTCTCCAGGCAGTCCTTCCTTCTCATTAGGTGAGTTTCATCTTCACTATCTGACCTTCTAAAGAGCAGTCAGGGTTGATCTCCTCTAAGACTGACTGGTTTGAGCTCCCTGCAGTCCAAGGGACTCGCAGGAATCTTCACCAGCACCACAATTCTTTGGCACTCAGCCTTCCTTATGGTCCAGCTTTCACAGCCACACATTGCAACTGGGAAAACCATAGCCTTGACTATACAAACGTTTGCCAGAAGGGTGATATCTCTGCTTTTTAGTATGCTGTCTAGATTTGCCATAGCTTTCCTCCCAAGGAGCAAGCGTCTTTTAATTTCTTGGCTGCAGTCTCCATCTGTGGTGATCTTGGAGCCCAGGAAAATAAAATCTGTCACTACCTCCATTTCTTCCCCATCTATTTGCAAGGAAGTGAGAGGACCAGATGCCATGATCTTAGTTTTCTTAATGTTGAGTTTCAAGCCAACTTTTGCGCTTTCCTCCTTCACCCACATCAAGAGGCTCTTTAGTTCCTCTTCACTTTCTGCCATTAGAGTGGTATCATCTGCATATCTGAGGTTGTTGATATTTCTCCTGGCAATCTTAATTCCAGCTTGTGATTCATCTAGCCCTGCCTTTCTCATGATGTGCTCTGCATATAAGTTAAACAGGCAGGGCGACAGTATATGGCCTTGCTGAACTCCTTTCTCAATTTGGAACCAATCAGTGGTTCTGTGTCCAGTTTGATTATTTAATCAAACTGTTTGATTATTTAATCAAACTGTTTGATTTAATCTGTTTGATTATTTGTTGTTACAGGTCAGCCCTTTAGATTTAGAAAGAACCCTACAAGAGGGGAAGGATTAAATTCCATCTGCATGAATGCATTTTATAAGAGGGAAAAACCCAACCACTATCACATTTGCTTTGGCAATTGTTGGCTACAAAGAGGGATAAAATAATGGAATGTTATCACTTTTTCAGTATATTTATTGGAGAAGTTCAGGTGTTTACTTGCATTAGTGACTGTAAATAAAGGCTAAAAAATGGCAGCTAATCTGAATTAATAGAAATGATATGCATAAATTTGTACCTGCAGGAAAATTAAGCAAAATAAAATGCTGAAAAAAATGTCTTTCACCTAGGTGCTACACTTATTTGTTCTAAAGGTATACCAGTCTGTTTTAAGCCTATGGAACTGTTGTGGGTGGCCTTTTCCTTTTGCTTTTTAAAGAAAGGACAACAGTAAACTGATGAACATCTATGGAGAGTGTGAGTGTGCATACATAAAATGGTTCCAAGCCTATCCACAGGTTACCCTCAGATTCAGAAACCTTACCACCACTATCTCAGAAATATGCTATGGTGATTCAGAGTTAAGGAGAGGGGAAGGCATTCTGTAGCAGCTCAACAGCAGTCATAAGAATAGCCATTCTGGGTAAGATTAAAAAACCTATCTGGTCCAGCACAGCAGCCAACCTGATGACTGTAGACATCATAAGCAAGGCATAGACACAACAGCACTCTCCTCCACACATTCCCCAATAACTGGCATTCACAAGCACATTGCTTTGGCACTGAAGGAAATACATAGCTGTTTAGACTAGTGGCTACTGATAGCCATAGACAAGCCTTCCCAAACCAGGTGCCTCCTAATTGTTTTGCAATGCAACTGCCTGCATTCCTAACCACTGCCCATGCTTGACAGAACTTGAAGTCCAAAACATTTGGAAGGCTGCCTTACATAAGTTAATGGAGGATAATACCCTTGTAAAGTCATCCAAGTTAGCTGCCCTCATTTCAACTGGTGGCAGCAAATCCCAGTTTGTCCTGTATGCAGAAGTGCATCCCTTTATCTGATCTGAATCTCTCAGTACTCAGGTTCATGGCATGATGGTGACTGTAGATTCTAACAGTCGCCAACAACAACCCTATGCATTTTCTATACACTAAGCCTAACTGAATACACCTCTATATTGTCACTTCCTTGCTTTTCATTTTTAAGCTAAAAAGCCCCTTGATCATGTTGATTTCTCTCTTCTGTGCCTTTTCCAACTGTACGATATCCTTTCTGAGGTGAAGCGACAAGTACCGCACGGGACATCCCAAGCGGGGTCGCGCCACAGATATGGGAAGACACTGGCGGCTTTATTCTCGTGCCCTTCCCTAACCGATATGGGATATGACTTTTTCAGGACACAAGGGTCAATCTCCAAATTACGAACTCTTTTTCCGCGTCTTTGTGATTACTACTCCATATGTTGCACGGCCGAGTATTGACATTCACAACAGCTCCTGAGAAGGGGGCTTGAGACGGGGCCCCTGCCGTCCGAGCGCTCAAAGGAGGTGGGACAGCGCAAGCAGCCCACCTCAGAAGCGCACGGCGAGGGCTGCACGAAGCAAGCAAAGGGCCCAGCCAGGCGACTTTCTTTTCCATGCGACCAGGGCTCGGCCCGTTGTACCTGCTGTTGCTGCTCGTTCAGCCCATTCACCGTATCGTCCACGGGGACTATAGCGCTTCCTCGGCGCGGCTGCCACACTCGGCCCAAGAAGCGCCGTCGGGTCCAGGCGGACACCGCGTTCTTCGCCAGAGTAGAAGCCGCCATCTCGCTCTCGCCACGGCTCGGCGGCCACCGCGACGGAGACGGGACAAGCTCGCGCAGCTACTCTCCGCCAATCAGCGCGGGAGGGCGGGTGGATGACCGTCCAGTGGGCGCTTCAGAAATGAGGGCAGAGCAGCCAATCGCAGCAAGGCCACCGCCTCCCTCCAGGCGCCAGGCTTTTCAGGAAAGCTTTGCTGTGCAGTAGCGAGGTGTCCGGTATCGAGGAGCAAGCTGCAGTTTGCGCTATGACAGGCGTTGAAAGCGTTCCCCGGGATCCTCGTTGCTTCTCTACCTTCTGCCGTTCCTTTTCGCTAGTTTCATATTTTACCTTATGAAGCTTTGTTGTGCATATGAATTACTTACTTTTCGATGCCACCCCCTGCCCCCGGCTGTCTGGGCGGTTCACAAGTTAAAAACAAGGAGTATAAGCATGCAATGAAGGTCAGGAAAAATCCAGAAGCAATACAAATTTAAAATCCAGCAAGAAATTTAAAACGGACAGAAAGGCTTAGGCTTCTGCGAAAATAAGGTCTTCGTGTGGCACTGGAGCCTCCCTGGGAAGCTCAGAACTGGAGTAGCACAGAGGAAAACGTCATCTTAGGAGTCACCTACCTCGCTTCCTTTGACAGGGACTCCTGAAGGTCTGATAATGATTTTAGAGTCTGGATGGAGAATTTAATGGGCTTTACTCATTTCTGCTATATGTAGCAGAGTAAAATGTACCAGATGACTTGCCCATGCACAAGAAGTTTGATCAAAGGTTTCAGAAAGGAAAGATAAACCCAGTGCCCTTGGGTTGAAAGCACTGCTCCTTATGACAACAGAACCAGGTTAACAGTACAATCCTATACATATCTGTATAGAATATCTGTATAACAGAATCAAACCCTATGGTATTCAAAGGAAACCCGCTTACAGAGCAGCATGCAGAGAACTGCAGCCCAAGGACATGTTGATTCCAGTGCCAGCTCTGAAAAGGGTGAGTATGGTCTTTTTTCTTGTAGCAAACAGGACAGGCATCCATTTGATCTCTTTTCTTCCTCCCCAAACCCCCATGCCCATCAACATCTGTATAAAGGCACCAAGAAGAGATGTGGGCTTTGTTATAACCATTATACTGACATCAAACTGATCTGCGTCTCTTTTAAACCTCTAAAACCAAGGATGGTGAAACTCCTGAACAAATGTGTATACATGTTAGGTACTGAGAAAGGGGAAGAGAACAAGCCAAAGTTTAAACTGGGAAAGACAGAGACTTTGTAAGTTGCAAAAAACAGCAGATCCTGACATTGGGTGTGACACTGATCCATGCTGGGGTTGCACTCCCTTAAAAATGCTAGGTGAACAGCATATAAATGCTCCTGACTTTGCTGTAGCCTGATTTACAGGCAGTAGTCCAGCCAGGAAGTGTATGCACAAGTGTAATTATATAATTATTCAGCTAGTGGACATAAAACCATTCAAGCCTGCAGTTTCAGAGGACTATCCTACAGATAAACATTAGCACCAGATGTATTTAACAAAATACAGAAATGGTTTAGATAAAGCCTTTAAAGAAAGCTTTGGCAATTGTGCTCTATAAAAAGGAAATAAGAGTCCTGAAATTTAAGAGATAGGAAATATTTCAACTCTATTAAATCAGATGCAGAACAAGCCCTATTTTTAATCCCCTCCCCCCACAAAAAAGGTCAGGTCACTCAAATAGTAACAGATACATTTTAGTTCCATATGGAAAGAAAGCAGCACGAAAGTCCCAGTCCTTTCTATGAGGAATTCAAGAGATTATCTTCTTGATCCAGTATTGCAAACAGATCTTCCATTTCTTTTTGAACAGACTGCTGCTGTTCTAAGAAGTGGTCTTGCTCCTCTTCTACTTGCTTCCATTTAGTCTGCATGCTCTATAGAAAAAGAAAAGTTGTAGCTATTATGCTACTTAAAAAAAATAACTTATGTTTTGAGTCAGGAGATATAAGGACACTTTCAAAAGTGGCTTGCTTTCATGGGGCCAAATAGCACAGGCTAGCTTCCTAACCTGGTACTCTTCAAATACTTTGGACATCCTCATCCTGCTTGGCCAGTGTTCAGGAATGCTGGGACATTTACTCAAAAAATCTGGATTGCATGAGCTTGAGGAAGGCTGGCACAGACCTTTCCTTTCTTGCAAAATAAATCAGAGGCTTGTGTATGGAAATTGTAAGCTTTATGTCCAAGCTTTTCCAAGCTATGTAGCAGTAGCAGGTAGGTAGGCACCCCACCACCCAATGACCTTCAGAAGAGGGTACTGTGTATGGTGTTGCCATGAAGATGCATGACTGAAGATTTGGGGGACAATGTTAAGACTTTAGAATGTTGTTTCTTGGTATCAATGAAGAGGGAAGGTAACCAGTTCCAGTTTTACCTGAAGATTTTCCATTTGCTTTTTAGCCATTTGGCTGAACAGTTCAAGATCAGCATTAAGCTGCTCTGACAAGACCTGAGAGGAAAAACAGAGCACCGGTTTTGTCAAATTTTAGTCCAGAGTCTGAGCTCTTCAAAATACAGCTCCTCAGTTATCAGACACTTATGACTAATTTACAAAACATGCTCGGCAGGAATGAGCAGGTAGGTTTTGCAGGGGGTGAATGGGATTAGGCAGAGAAAGCCCCACCATCAGACAGACCACAACAGCTGCTTCAGGCAACAGGTGGGAGGTGGAACAAGGGGTGGGGACGGGCAGAGGTTGGGTGCCAGGCAGTCTAAACTAGTCTGCTACCCTCAAGAGCAGCAGGGGCTGCTGTCCATTTATGTTGAAGGCAGCCTTAACTGCCAGTCCAGGCAGCTTCTCTAAATGTAATGAAATTAACTGTCTTGTCTTTTGCTTTGGGAAGAAAAAACATCTTGGACCAGTCCTGGGTTCAGGTTACCTACGTCCTCAGAAAAAAGAAACCAGTTCACTCACTGCTATTTCAGCCTGTATCTTCTTGTTCTCCTCTTCTTCTTTCCAAATATCTTCCCCTGTAACTTATTTTTAATTGATTTGTTACATTTCAGAGCCAGTTCCCAGCATTATCCCCTCAACTGACGAGAAGCATGGCTTCCAGTGCCACACATTTAAAAAACAGACAGCTGCAGGGTTGCTGTGTCACATGTCATTTGTAAGCATCAGATATGGAGTAGCATCTTATAACTCAAGAGTGTGATCTTGTGCAGATGGACTGCAGCTCAGCAAGAAAGCACATGCTTTACATGGGAAGATTCAATTCCCACCCTCTCCAGAAAAAGGAACAGCAAATACTTTTGTGCTACACCTCAGAAAGTTGCTGCCTGTCAACTGGTAATCCCGGGCTAAATTGACCAGTGGTTCCACTGTGGTGGCCCAGCTGGTGCCAAATCTGTCGTCTTTTTGGCACCAGCTTAAGATCGTGGTTTTTAACAACTTATTTGCCCACCCAGAGGCTTGAGAGCATTCACCAGGTGTTTTGCAGAGTCTTTTTCCCCACCACTTTTTGTTATTTCTTGCTGCTGTCTGTTTTCATTATTTTTTTGCTGTTTAAAACTTTTTAGTTTTTTTCTTATTTTATGATATGTACACAGTATTTTTATCATCGCTTTTAATGGACTGTGTCAACTGCCCAGAGAGCTTTGGCTGTGGGGAGCACAGAAATGCAATAGATAGATAAACATACATACAACATGGTAACTCTAATATTTAATATGTCTTTGAACCTCTGCTGAAATCCAGCTCATACCACTTTTTGTACATTCCTCCATACATACGCTAAGGCACACGGGAAATGGGACCATCTGCAGCTCTCAGTGTCACAACATCCTGCCCCAAATATGCACCATACATCAAGTGGGATCCCTGCAAAGGGGTACCTACAAGTGTACACTTGTAGGCATTCCATGCAATCAGGATTCTTGATCAACCAAACATTGCTACTTTCTTCCATCCATGTGAGTTTATGCATTGCAAAATTCATACACTGTAAACAGCTCAAGTTATTTCAGAAACTAGCATCTGAAGAGTTACAATTCCATTTACAAGTCTAGGGAGAAGTTGGTGGAGGAAAACAAAATCATAAATGGAAGTATGAGGCACATGCACTGGAGGACATGAGAACAGGCAGGAATATTTACCTGGGTCACAATTTCTGCTTTCCAGGAACAATATGCAGCTTTCCTGAAATTTCTTCAGCTTCTGGTTTTCTTTCTCCAAGCTATCACATTGCTCCTTCATATCCTTCATATCCTTCTGCAAGTACAGAGATCAAATAGCTGGTCACATCAAAGAAGAATAACTATATATTTGGCTTTCAATCATTTGTAAACAATACAAAGAAGCTCCTTTTCCTAGTGGGGAGGGAAACAAATCTGTACAATACAGGGAGGCAAGTCCCCATTTGGTAAGGGACATGGGATGACTTTTCTAATACAAGCAATCATTAATTATATTTCTGCAAACTGATTTCTTTGGTGGTCATTTTGAAACTGATTAAAGCTCGTAACACATTTAAATAACCTCACAGCTTTGAGAAGTAGTGTGTGGACCAATGTGTAGATGCACATCATGTGGCTTTGATCTTGCAGTGTTGTGGGAGCACTTTCATTCTGAAGATTATATAAGGGCGCAATCAAATGGGGCTCCCTGAATCCACTGAACTTGGAAGATTACAGGCACCCTATACAGGGCAAGAATAATAGGTAACCTCCGCACTCTACAAAGCAGCTAGATGGCTAGTTTCAGCGATCTAACTGCAGTACTTCAGAAGAGAAGAAGACTGAAGTAGTATCTTGGTACCTCTGGTCTCTTCTGCTCCCCATCCCCCCAGAATGCCCCCTAAACCCTGTTTCCAAGATTGCTTTTCCAGACTTGGAGAAGCCCTCAGCATGGTTCTTTCTGCACTGGCTGTGGTGGGGGCAGGGGTTCTAGAGGGACATAAGATAACTCTGCCCTTTATAGCTAATAGTGTTCTGGATTATATATAATAAAACACAAGTAATATCCATATAAATTATATTTATCAAAAATTAAGAGCAATCAATTAAAAGCAAATAAAAGCAACAGACTAGAGCAAGTACCACAAGGGAAAAAAACAGCAGCAGAAACACAAACACAAGGGAATATTAAAACCCTCTTTGTCTTGCACTGAAAAGATAACCAAGTAGGCACTAGGCAAATTTCTTTGGGTAGGTATTTCCTAACTGGGAGACCATTACTTAAAAGGCTCATTTAATGGGCATGCAACACACCTTCATAGGCAAGGGCACTCAGAGAAGGGGCTCCAAGGACTACCTTGGGTAGGAATACACAGGAAGAGGCGCTCCTTCAAATAACTAAGGTCTCAAGCCATTAATGATTTTATACATTAACATCAACACTTTGAACTGGGCCTAAAGACAAACCACTATAGAGCTCCACCATCCACAGCCAACTCAGAAAGTATCTCCCGAAGGATACCATGGTTGATGATGTCAAAAGCCATCATAAGGTCAGGGAATCAATGGGACCATACTCCCTCAAAAAGACCACTGCAAAAAGTGACTGTTTTAGTTCTGAAACCCTGACTGAAATGGATCCATTATATAATGTAATGTATAATGTATTATATTTTAATGTTTTGTGAGCCACCCTGAGGCTTCGGCGAATGGGGCGGCATAGAAATTTTCTAAATAAATAAATAATGAAAGACAGAACGGCTGTACAATGTCTTTTGACTGTTAGTACTAGGAGCTCTCCATCTGGAATTAGCTCTGGTTTATGGTCTTGAAAAGCACAGCATGCTGCTCAGGACGGATCTTATGATGACCCAAGTCAGGTTTGCTCCATACCTGCATTCGCGCCAACTTAACATTCAAGTCAAATTTAACGGTATTCAAGACCTTGTTCTTGCTCCTGAGCTCTGCCTCCCATCTGAATCTGTTCACAGGGCAATAGGATCAAACATGTTAGTGATGCATCATGGGCAGTGGGTTTTCTGCTTTTAACATTCAGGCCAAGAACAGAAAGAGGAGAGAAAGAGAAGAAAGTAAGGCAATTGTGGCTTAAGTTATTCTCTGCAATGCTGGTCTAAGAGTAGACACACTAAACAAATGGGACTTAAGTTAAACAAACATTGTATACAAACAATTGGGTCCTAATCAAGAAGCCCAACCATCTGACGGACTAATGCCATCAGTGTCCTGGTTTGTACATAATGTTAAACCATGGCTTGTTGCCTTGCCCAGAATTTACCTGGCAGATGATCAAACAAAGTAAGAGTTCTCAGTCCCTGAGCTGATTCCCTCCTCCTTCACTAGCTATCTCCCTGTATCCTAAATGTCTTTCAGCATTGTTGCACTGGCATGCCGAGTGGCTTGATTTTTTGACTACCTTGCCTGCCACTTTCTGGAGCCTGTTGAAAGAAGCCACATTTGACCCATGTTTCTGAGTGTACAAAATAACAGCTCATGGTTTAAGCAACTTAGCATTCATAACCCCAAAATAAGCCGCAAATTCTCTTTCCTAGGTTCTATATGATCAACAAACCATGGTTTATTAGTGCAGCTACATTCACATTTTAGGACACCACAGTATTCAAAAGCCAATACCATGGATTAGTGTGCTGTGTAAACCCACCCAGTGACTAACTGCTATTATGGGAGTTGCTGTGTACACTGACAGTAAATATCTAGTCTGAATTACCTGGACACTGGCAGTACCAATCTGACAGAGCCATAAAATTCTGGATATGTGGTGTTTTGCATAATGTACTTAAATAGTTGTGTAATTTTAGCTATAAAACAGTCTGCCTACAGAAGCTATGATATATATGTATGATAGTTTCAAATTTTATTTTTTTATTTAGAGTTTTTGTATGCCGTCCCATCGCTTAACGCCTCGGGATGGCTTACATAAACAACCAAACATAGTACAAAAAATACAGATTATACAAATTAAAAAACTCGATTCATTCCGGCTGCAAATTAAAACCTATAGTTAATATTAAACATTATTAAAATATTGTTTAAATAAAACTGTTTTAATAACTTAATCTAATTATACCAATAATGTAAGGAGTCTTGATGTAAAAAGGGAAGGAGAAGGAAAATGCAGAAAGGAGGTACCATGTTTTCCTTGCAACACTCACGTTCGTGAAGTTGTTGTCACTGCATTCTTAGGTGGTGGCAGTGCAGTTTTCTTAGCTGACTTCATGAGCCTTAATATGATGGAATAAATATATATTCAATACCAACTCAAGGATCTTTTTTTTAAATCAGCAACTTGATTCAGTCAGCATCTTATTTTTGTAAAATTATAGCTCATAGCCAGGTTACCTGAAGGATGGTCTCCTCCCAAATTTATCTCCCAGAACCCTAAGATCATCTTCAGTGGTCTTTCTGATAGAGTCCCTGGCAAGGGAGGTTAATTGGGTGGCTACTGGGAAGATGTCCATTTCTGCTGTGGCACCCTGCCTATGGAATGAACTTCCTAGAGGCTCACACTGGGTTAAGTTCTTATTTTCCCAGGAACTCCTCCAGGAATTTTAGTTTCACTCCATTTTAAATTCTGCATTGCATTTTTAATCTTTTTACTGCTGCCAGATTTTACTCTAGGATTCACTTTTATTTTATATTGTTGTTTTAACTATTTAAATTTTTATACTGTATTTTATTGTTTAAATTGTCAAAAACTGTCCAGAGATCTTCAGCTATGGAGGAATATGAAAACATAATAAATGGATCTAACTATTGCATTCACATGTAAGAGTGAGATTTGTTGAGGGTTGTGAATTCTGCTTCTTACAACTATTTTACTCCAGCTTTCCACTAAAAGAAATGCTCAAAGCAACTTACAAATCAGCCCATGCTTAAAACCAACAATGAGGTATAAGATAAACAGTGAAAGGGTACTAACAGGCAAAGAAGAGACACAGATACAATACTTCAGCCAACATATATGGGAGGCTAAAACCAACAGTAGTGCAGGCCAAATATACCTGAACAGCAGTGGAAGGCCATCAAATAGGGCAGTGAGTTGGACCTCCCTTGGTAGGAAGTTCAGATATGACCATGGAGAAGATTCTTTTCAACATCTCAACCAAGTGCTGGCCAGATATTGGTGGGACATTGAATAGAGTCTCTGTAGATGCTCTCAATAGAAAAGATACACTTTACCTTTGATTTGTGCACACAGGAACATTTACTCCAGCAGTACAAACTGGATCTTTTACGGGCTGCAGGTCAACTATTTTGTCCAGATCTTGCTTTTTTGGATGTGGCTTCGTATCTGCAAAGAAGGCACAAGTATAAATAAAAATGCAAAGCTTTTGACTACAGGGCAGCACTAAAGAAAGATACAGAAGATGAGAAGGAGACTTGAATGTACTGCATAACAGTAAATGAAATAAGACAAAAAATGAGAGAGCAAACCAAGGTTTTATTTTTTAGCAAGAGAACTGAAGGAAG